TGGGGGGCGAAGGGGAGAAGGAACGGCTCATTATCGGGATTTATTATCAATCGTCCAAGTAATTCTGCAGCAGCACAGTGCCAAACTTTGACTGCAGATCCCAGCATTCCCATGATAGCTTCAACTGCACGTTTTTCTCTGTAGAAAAGTATGAAGCAAACTTGTTAGCAAGAAATCATCATTCAGGTGAGCCTAAAAGATCAGTCGTAGATCGAAGTCTAACGTTATTTTGATGTAGGACGGCTTTGATGAGCTAAAGATACGAAGATCAAGGAGCGGGGCTAAATTCACAATTGTCTCTAGTGCATTTGTGACAAGCTCTTCATCCTCTGTCAACAATTAAAGCCTTCAGATGTAATGTAGACAAACATACACATATTCAGCACTTTAAACTTCAACTACTACACAAGAAACGCTTTAAATCAGTTATTCCATTAGAGAGGGTCATGCCATCAAATTCTAAAAGCACTGGTCATTAGGGTCATGAACTTCTCACCTGTAATATGATCTTCTACACATTGAAACACTGTTTCCAGCGTATGTCGATGTTGAGCCATGATGGATTCATTCTCTGGCATGAAAGAAAAATTTCGGAGGATATTTGAAGCAGAAACAGCACATTGCTGTCTTTCTGCTCGTCCTTCATCATCCCGATTAAATAGACCATCTTCATCGAGCCACCAATGTCGAGGAGATGGTTTGGGAGAATGACCTGTTGCCTCTGAAGCTGAAGAACCAGGTCTCAGGCTGCCGGGCATTAGTTGTTTTAGAATAATATTCAGTAAACCGGGCAACCATAAAGAAATGATGGCAAATAATCCTTTTATGCATACCCATTTGAGCCCAGAGCCTCAAATTCATTCCCAAATCCCGTTATATAAGAATTAGCACCTAATGTTCTGACCCTTTGCTTCTTTACATGATCCTTTGGAAGTGCTACATCACGCCAATCATCAATCTGGAAGATGTAACATAACATCATAATACCCTTTATTATCACGATATTTATTTGAACTCACAGTTTTAATTTTGCCACTTTCAGATTTCTATCCATGATAAAAATGGAATACGGAAGGACAATGAAATTCCCCATAGGAAGCTAGACATCATATTTATTCATCACAAAAGAAAGCGCGAGAAAATGACTGAGAGGTTATGTAATACATACAACTTGAAGAAGAGCATCGAGCAAGCCTGGAATTTTAGCCAGAGGAGTGGAGTCTCTACGCATATCATCCTTCTCTTTGAAGGAGAGAAGAGTGAGAGTGTTAAGTGCCCATGTCAATTCACTCTTCAATCCACTCTGTAGAGCCAACACTATCCTTTTATTGTTTTGATCTGCTCCAGCAATTAAATTTGAGGATAAAAACGGGACTTAATCAAAGAAACATCTCAACTTAGACAACAAATTCGAAGAGTGAATAAACTTTGAGCTGATTTCCCAGTACAGACGGAGTCCGGAAATTAAAAGAGAAAACGAAAGGGGTATCAATTTACTGACCCGCGAAGGAGGTATGAATATGGAGAGAAGGGCCAAGAAGTGCCGATGGAGCCAAGGTCTCCGCCGCAGCGGCTGCAGCGGCAGCGTTACTGTTTACACTGCCGAATGGACGGCCTCGCTTAGCCGGAGGAGCAGATGCGCTACCAACATTTCCACCCAACTTGTTCTGCTCTCTCTTCTGCATGGCCTATACCGATCTCTGTGAATTTGGTGTGATTCAGCGATAGCGATCCGGTCCGACCCTGTGACAATCGGGAGCTGGAAATCGAATTAGGGCGCACTAAATTGGCGAGTGAATTCACCCACCAAATCAAATGAAATAAACTGGTAAGGTCCGAGAAATATAGGCCCAATTCATAAGCCCATTTCTCAACATGCTTTTGTAGTCGGCCCAAAATGACGACAATAGGAAGTTACCCAAATCCTCGCACATTTACTATTATTATTGATATATATATAAAATTATATATAATTATTTTATTTAATATAGGTTCTATAAATATCTATAAAAATTAGAAAAATATATATACGAAAATAAAAAAATAAATGTAAGAACAAAGCATATTCTAAGGAATAAATAATCCAAAACGAAATAAAAAATAAAAAAGAGAAAAAGTGAGAGACCAGGACAATAAAAAAAAGAACACCCGCACCTGATCTCTCTCTCCCTTTTTCTCAATTTTTTTTTTTATATTTAAAAATAAAATTCTGATATCGTGTGGGTGAGGAGAATAATAGATAAAAATGAAGTTTACACCTTCCCAAGCAACCTCCAAAAAAATAAATAATAAATAAATAATAAAAAAATAAGTAGGTGAAAGGTTGCTTTCAACTGCGTACAATAATAATTATTATTATTATAATTATTCAAGACGAAAACATTTTTCTTTTCTTTTATTTAAAGAAAAAAAGGAAACGAACCCACGCCTTCTTTAAACCATCACACATACAATCATATGACATTATTACCCTTCTTTGTTTCCCTTTTTACTATTATTATTATTATTATTTGCAATTATTTGCAATTATTAGTTTCCTAATTTTTAAAATTTGAAATAAGCTTAAACGCTAGGGGATAAGAGGGAAGAGAATATCACGCAATTGTTATGAGTTCATTTACCATCACACCCTTCCAGACTTCACCAATTCTATTTCTCTCTCTTTGCTTTTATACCCCCAATTTTTCCCTTTATTCCCAAACCTCCCCTTCAAAATTCTTAATTTTCTTTTCTACCCTACAAAATGGGATATTGTTTGTTTCCCACCCAGGAAACCAAGCTATTTCCTTCTATTAAAATATTCATTTTGTTTTTCTTTTCATTATTTTATTTCAGAAATCACCCAATAATAAGAAGATAATTATCAAGGTATTTATATTATATTTTTTTATGTTCATTTATACACTTTTTTTTTCCAGAAATTAAAAGAAAAAAAAACCAAAACTTTTTCTTTTTTTTTTTCTTTCTCAAGATTTCTCTTTGAGAAGGGAAGCTAATCCGGTGACTATCTTAGCTCCTTTATCTATTCTCTTTGGCTTGATCGCAGGGGGTTGCCACGGAGAACCGCTCCCCGTTGCCGGTTCATTTTCGCCGGAGATTAACGTCGGCGATAGCGACTCGGGATCGCTGGTGGTTACGGACTCGATCGACACCGATTCCTCGCCGAAAATCAACTCGAATTCACCGCAATCGGTGTCGGTTGCCAGCGGGTCGTTTAGGGTTTCAGATTTGGATTCTTCGGGTTCGGCTCTCGGAGGAGCGTTGGGGAGAGAGTCAGTGGTTCTGATTGGAGGAGAGAGCCATTTAGCAAGCATGTACTCGGCTTTCCTCCATGGCGGAAAATGCATTCCTTTCTTCTTCAGGCTCTGTCTTGCGGCTTCTGATACGATGGATACAATTTGTCTGAGACGTTCTGATTTCCCGACGAAGACGTACGGTAGCGTCTGAAGAATCGCTTTATATGTTCCCGTCGAACGAGCAATCTCGAATTCGGATCTAAAATCGATGTCTATCAGCAATCGTTCTCCATCCAGAATCACATCCACGTATTCGTATTCACCTAAAATCAAACAGAAATGAAATCGAATTTAAGAATTGGGGAAGAAAGAAAATTAGGGCACAGGGGGGAAATTTTCTGTACCAGCTGGGAAGGAGGGGGATTTCTCCCATTTGGATTTGCAGATGGAAGAACTGTAACCAAGAGATGAGAGGGAATCGGTTACGATTCTGCGTAAATCGTCTTTCCGTTTATGAATTTTGCTATGCTTTTCGATGATTTTCGAAGTATCTGCCAAGAGGTTTCTCTCCGTAACGCTCGTGCAAGGGATTAAACCCTGAAACAAAATGTCGATTGTCAAATAAACTATGAAAAAGCTCGAATCCCGAAATTTGAAGTTTCGGCTCAGAAATTACCTTGAGTATATCACATACATCGCCACCGGATGATCCGGAGGTGATCGATTCACCAAAACACCCAAATACATCGAATTCATCGTCGGAGCTGTCATTGCTATTGCCGTTGAAGCAATTGCAGGGATTGCGGCCATACTTGACAGCTGCCGGTTGCTTCTCGTTGCTCTCCTCGATGAAATTCTGCACCATCTTATCTAAGCAAACCGAGCTCGGTTCGAACTCGGTCCCTCCTCCTCCATCTTTGCTGCTAAACTGAGCTGGTTCACCAACAATAATCGGTTTCTCAACCGCAGAGCTTCTCAGAACGCTCGGAAACGGCCGATCGAAAAGTCGCCTCAGTCGCGATTTTAACAGAGGCTTGGCCGATTCGGGACGAACCTGTTCTCTCACCGTCTTAACATCGATATCAATCGGTTGGATCTTCATTACCCAAAAGAAACAAACAGAAAATTTTCCGCTCCCTCGAGAAAGTTCCGAAAATTAAAAGAGAAAAAAAATTGCAATACAGATTTGCTCCGGTCAGAAATTCCCAAACTACACCTACTAAATCTCTACTCTGTGCAGCTCGGGTTCATTGAAATTCACGGACTTGCAAAAACCGAAATCACAGAGAAAAATCAGAGAAATGAACTCCAGATAGTTGCATGTACATTCAGAATCTCCCACTCTAAAACTTTCAACTCAAAAAATGAAGAACTAAACGGAATCAATGGCACGCTTCCACTAATCGCTCCATGCCCACTGGTCAGCTACTCCACACTCAGAATAGCCGTGAAGCGATCGAAAGGGAAAAAACCACCGCAAAAATGTACATACAAAGGCCGAAAGAGAAGACACTTCTGGAAAAATGCTGGAGCAAGAAGGAAGTACGGAAAATAGGGAAAGGAAAAGGGAGGAGGGTTATCTCAGAGATTTTTCGTGAAAAACATGGCGACGATGATTGCAGAAGGAAACGGCAAGTCCTGATCTGAATGAGAGTGCGATCGGATAATTCATCTTCCGATGAGGTCGCCGGAGAAGATGAGATTCGAGAAAGGTCGGAGAGAGTGGGTTTGTGAAGGAGAGTGGTGGTCCTGAAAGGGGGGCGAGTAATGGAGTGGGAGAAAACCGGGCCGGGGGTTTTATAAGGAAATAGAAGAAGATGGGTTGCTGAGTGGACATAATATTTGCCACGTGGAGTCCTACATGGCAGTAATTATCCTGAAATTGGCAGCTTGCTAGCGTGACAATTATTGCACTTTCACCCAGTTTGGGTTCATGGACATGGGCCAGATGGCGACACGTGTCGGGTGGATGAAGTGGTGGGTAGTTTATTTTTTTTGTTTTGTTTTAAATTAATTAATCTAGCCGAGGTGAAAAACGACGTGAAATTCCAAAAACACCCCTCCACTAATATGGAATACCGGGTAGATGCCCCTCGTTTTCCGGGGATATCGAAAGCAATCGTGGCAAATGTGCAATTTCCCACTTTTTTATTTTTATTTTAAATTAATATATTTTTGTTTTCTCTTTTTTAGAAAGTGGGGGACGAGAGCGGGGCAAAGTTTACGGTGTTCGCAAAAATATTTACCATCTCGAAAATAAACTTCCTATTAATTTTTTTATTCAATAAAAAAATTAAATTCTCGATTCAGTCTCGTGTATCGTAACAAATAATAATAAAAAAAAAGCTTCAGATATTTAAACAGATTTTTTTAATAAATAAATAAAAAAAGCTTTTGGCAAATTAATTGGTATTTTATTTTTTGAATAAATTTTATAAAGTTTTTCTTAATATTGAGTTGAAAAGTCATTTTCATGATGAAATAAGTACAGAAATTCAAATATTTTAAAACTCTGATCCAGGAGGAAATTTTTCGGTTGGTCTACCCCCATCAACCTTTTAATTATAATTATAAAAATTCCAATCATCCACATTTAATCTTTATATAATAATATTTAATTTATTGGTTTTGGTATGGGTGGGGTAAATAATGGTTAAAATAAAATGGAATTATTAAAGAAAATGGGTGGACGTAGGTTATAGGGCCAGGTGGCGGTCAACATTCCTAATGACCATGGACCGCCAGACATGGGTCCGTACGTGGTCCGGTTTTAGGCTCCCTGTTCGGTTCCACAAAAATAAGGTATAAAGCCTAATAAAATGAATGTTTTTTTTCTTTTCTTTTTTTTTAAAATTTGCACAAAATTTCTAATTAAAACAAAACCAAGAAGTTATTCTAACTTTTGAAATTTGTCTTCTTAAATACCTATATTGTATGGCAAGTAATCCATTTCCCAAGCTTTGGAGTATATTGCTTGCTTGCTGGCTTGATCTTTCTTTTTTTCTTTTTTTCTTTTTTTCTTTTTTAAATTTTTTAATTTTGAAAATTGGTGAATTTTGGGTGTAATGGGGGAGAGAGGCATGGATGCGACTTTAGTGAAGTTGTTTTGATGATGGGCAATGAAGTTATTGAATTCTCACTCTTTTTCTGAAACTCATCATTCTCTCTTTTTAAAGCTTTTGGGAACATGGCCTTGTCATTAGCTTTTGTACACTTTCAGATGCCTTCTATTTCACAATCTCTATTTTCTTTTAAAACCCCCCAAATAAATAAATAAATAAATAAATAAATAAATAAAACCTGGGTATTTTGTTTCATATCTTTTCTAACAAATATCATCTCCACACCAATATTGTGGCTCATTTAATTCATTATTTCAAGTAGATGAGTGTCATTTTCCATCAAACTCATCGCAGTTGCAGGAAATTAATTCATTAATTAATTTTCTTTTCTTTTCTCAAATTCAGTATTGGGGAGTTGCTAGTTTTCGTGGTAGACGAGGGGTCAAATCCTTGTGGAGACACTCCCTCAAGTATTATATAATACTTATGTATGCAAACAACATTTTGGTTATTTTATTATACTCAACTATTCAACTACTTGAGTGGAGCAACATAATTAGGTTTATTTCTATTTTTAACATCAATTCATTAATAATGCGTGGATTTTATGATGAGAATTGTGTTTCAAGCTTCTCAAATTTTGATAAGTAACACGCTAAACTCTAATAAAGTTTAAAATTTAAATATTTGTAAGTTAGAACTAATATTTTTATTTTTTAATGAAAAATTCAAACCCAATTCACCAATCATAAGGTTGAAATAAATAAATAAATAAATATATAAGATTAAGAACATAAAATTTGAAAATGACATAAAAGGTCAAAACGTCGACGTGTTGCTGAGGATCGGATTACCCACTATGGAAGCTACCCCCAAATATAGTAAACAAAGTCATTTTCCTTGCAACCACCAAAACCAAATTAAAGTCCCAATTGGTTAATATTATTATAACTTTATTCTCAATCTGTTGGCCTACCAGACCCCTTTACCCTTTTCCATCATTTTAATTTATTTTTAAAATTATGGATGTACATTTTTTAACTCTAAATTAATTCAATTATGTTTAAATTAGTTTTTTTTTTTTTTCTTGGTATGATTTTAAGAGTATTTAGCTTAGTCCATCCATTTTTATCATAGAATTGAAAAATACTTGTTTAATTAAATTCGTGTATGCTTAATTTCATTGATTAATTTCTAAAAAAAACAAATCCAAAATATTTTATTAGGCCTAACCCACGTGGGTGATGGGCCCACTATAACCAAAAGGATTAAAATGATAACGATAATGATTTAATGGATTTAATTTAATTTAATTAGGTTTAGGGTTAATGAAGATTGTTAAATATCCCTAACACATCTATCATGGGTTCCAAACACAATATTCTTTAATCATATCCTACCATATTCTATTATTTATGCTAATATTTTCAGACCAATCATGTCATATGTTACCCTTTTTTTCGACATCGAAGAAAGAGATTAGAAGTAAATGTGACACGATCCTCCACGAATCGAGAAAAAAATTAGCGAAATCTTATCTCTTGTAATATTAGAGGAAGGATATAAAATGTAACTTAGAATGTGAAATTTAACGTTCTAAATATTTAGAAAATCATTTATGTCGTGTCAAGGTAAGAATTAGATGTGGAAGCAAACAAAAAGCTTACGTGATCGAATGCGAAAAAAAAAAAAAGAGAGAGAGAGAAAAAGAGAGGGGGTGATGATGAATGATGAAGACATAAAGTTGTTTGATGAAGAAATCTTGGGTTAATTAAAAAATAAAATAGACTTTTAAAAAATAGATATTAATAATATGTAAATAAATATATCAATTATCATCTAAAAGATCGATGGTTAGAATCAAATTCAAAAGATAAGAACATATGATGAGACTTGAAATAGTGGGGTTTGAATGTTTTTTTTCACTCGACATCCCCACAACTCAAGCTTAGGTCCGTTGCATATGAGACGATGCGATTGTTTTGTCCTTATACTAGGTATCTTATATAAAAAGTATTATTAGTGTTTGTCTTTTTTCTTTTTCTTTTATTATAAATTGTGTTCTTTATAATAACAGCAGAGTTTGGTTGCTCTATTCCTCTATCAATCCAAAAGAAATCCCACTCTATTTTATTTTATTTTCATTTTCCTCTTGGAAAAAGAATCTCCTTTTCTTTTTCTTTTTATTTTTTAAATGTGGAATAAAATTTTAAAACAAAAGAAAAACAATAATTATTATGGTCTAAATCATTAATCCATTATGTACAACATTGATTGATTACCATTATTAAGCTATTCCTGATTAATAAGGTTTTATACTTTCTTAATCATGATTTAACTATTTAAAAAAGTTTAGGTATAACCATTAAGTTATTCCGGAATAAAGGAGTCGGGTCGGGTTCTCTTTTGTTGGGCTGGGCTTCGGCCACATAATCTAGGTCCAATATGTAAGATCGAGTTTAACAGCCCAACCACTCAGGCCCAAACAAAAATAAAAATTATAATTTTCTTCCAGATTTTTGGTGCACGCAACTAACTTAATGGAGTGGTTTTCCGATTGTGGATATTATACCCAACTAAACACGCCGTTACCCTCACAAAGATGGACACGTCAGCCGCCACAATGGATCAAACCATCCTTGCTGTCCACCACCTTCGCTAAAAGCTCATTTAACTTAGCGCGGAAGAATATTATCATTTTATTTCGGAAGCTAGAAATTTCGTCTCTGAATCGCGGATTAGGGTTTTCTCTTTGGCTTCTACATCGGTTCCTTCTGTAAAGCTCCTGCGCTTCACTCTTCCATATTGGATTTCCCGCATCGATTTAATCAGGTTCGGTTACTGTCTTTTCAATTTCTGCCCTTTTTGTTTTCTGAAGCAATTCTGATCTGGATCTGCAATTTTTCATCCCTCCGGGTCTTCTCGTCTAGTTTTCGTTTCTAGGTGATTCTAATCGTTTTCGCCAACAAATTCCATGTATTTGACTTCTATGTTGTTGTTGTTGTTGATGAGGAATTTGTGTTTTTCTTTGTTTGGACATTTAGGCGATTTGTCGGTCTTTTCCCGTGGGATACGATGGGGGCTTTCATGTCGAGATTCTGGTTCATGTTATTTCCGGCAAAAGAATACAAGATCGTGGTGGTTGGGTTGGATAATGCGGGAAAGACGACGACTCTTTACAAATTGCACTTGGGAGAGGTTGTTACTACCCATCCTACCGTGGGAAGCAATGTTGAAGAGCTTGTGTACAAGAACATTCGATTCGAGGTTCAGTCAATCTATATCAATTTACTTCTACTTTGCCTTCTTATTATTCTATTTTTTATGGATGCTTCCTGTTTGTTGTTCATTATATTCCACCCATTGGGGATTCTTCTCCTTCATCAATTTCACTGTAGTATTCTATTTGAGTATTGGTTTGTATAGTTTTGCACTGTGATCTTTGAATGCTCCGGCCAGTTGAATGTTTAGTTGTCACGTGAAATTGCGAGTTTGTGTATTTGGTTGATTCCAAAGATTGACCTAGAAAAGAAAATGTGATGCAAGATATGGGAATTCGTGTGTTGTCTGTAAACCTGATACCTTGCGTGTGAAGTCCCAAAGTAGTTCTTGAATAAAGCAACGTATTCCCTTTTTTATCTTCGGGAAGTCTAGTCTTGTGAAAAGCCCAGCCGAAGCATGAGATTTATCCTGGCTTTTTATGAGACATATTTGGTGAGAGCATTTAACTGGAACTTCCCAAAATCCCCCACAATTTGCAGTCATATTGGGTTGATGTTTGTGATCTGCGTGTGCTTTCCTCAGAAATTGGGCTGGTTTATTAGGATGGTAGAAACCAGAGTACTTGTTGGAAAAGTAGATATTTAGATAATCCATTTATATAGGAAGCTTTGCACAAAACCCGTCTTTGTTCCTCTTATGGAAGGTGAAACTGAGCTTTTCCCTCAACTAAACATGTTCCACTTGGCAATTTTTTTCTCTAGGTATGGGATCTTGGTGGGCAAGACAGGCTTAGGACATCATGGGCAACATATTACCGCGGAACGCATGCAGTGATTGTTGTGATAGACAGCACAGATAGAGCAAGAATCACCATCATGAAGGAGGAGCTGTTCAGACTACTCGGTCATGAAGATCTTCAGCAATCTGTGGTGCTGGTCTTTGCAAACAAACAGGATCTCAAGGATGCCATGACTCCCGTTGAAATCACCGATGCTCTTTCACTCCACAGCATTAAGAATCACGAC